ACTCCACCCTTGGTCCTCTGCTCTCCTCTCTCTCGGTTTAGCAGTTTGAGGAACCGGTGAGGGTTCTTTTTTAAAAAAATTGTTATTATTGAAATGACATTGCATTATAACATTATATAAGTTAAAGGGGGCATCATTACAAATCAGCATTTGTATCTGCTTCATCACTCTAAGTCCAAACCTTACCCTTCACTTTCCAGTTGTCCCTTTTACCTGAGTTACCTACCCTGAATCCCCCCCTTTCCTCTGGTAACCACTGATTGGCCTGAAAGTCTTAGTGTTTATTTTTGTTTTATTTAGTTCATCCTTTTGTCTGGTGTCTCTTTATACCACTTAAGTGAAGTCATAGGGTGTCTGTCTTTCTCCTTCCGACTTCACTCAATACATTACCCTTCCCTCAGTATATACCAGGTCCTTTTATGTAGTAGTGAATGACAGGATTTTAATGAGGTACATGTGTCTTGCTAAATTTATGATTTTTGGGGAAATACCCAGAAGTGGGATAATTGGTTTGTATGATAGTTCTGTTTTAGACAGGAAAGGATTTATTATTATGATTATTACTCCAGGTAGCCTCTTCAGTTAACGTGTGTTCTTTTTAGACTTACCAGTTTATTTCTACTGCCTATGATTAAGTGAGCAGAGTAGGGGATTAATCCCTGGTGTTGTGTAAGACACAAGAATAAGAAGTCTGCAACAAAGGAGACTAAACCCTGAGAAAGTAAATATAATTTTGTGCTGCTGATTTTTTTTTTTTTTTTTTGGGATAAGTGGGTGGAGTTGTCAACTGGTTTTTAGGTGCAGCTTTCTTTTTACCCCTTCATCTGTGGGGTTACAGAGTCGGGTTGCTTATAAATATAGTATTACTTGACCTTTAAAAACATGCTTTTTTAAAAATTTTTTAAAAGATTTATTTGTGCATACAGAGCTGGGGTACAGGCCAGAGGCTCGGGGGGGGTGGTGGTGAGAGACTTCACCAGAGACAGAATGGGGAGCAGAACAGGCAGATCTATGAAGTACACTGCTGAGGGGAGCAGCGGGCGGGTCAGGAGAGGTCTGCCACACCATGTGGTCACCTCCGGGGCAGGCGGGGATCGAATTCATGCGGAAGTGGCTTTAGATTCTCAGTGCTGTGCTTTAACCCGCTGTGCCACCAGGGAGGGCCACTTTTTTGTTGTTTTAATAAGACAAAGAAAACTCTTTCCTTTGTGATGAGCAGCAGCTTCTAGAATTTGAAACCCTCTGTCCACTTTTGTAGTGCTCAAGTAGGAAGCAAAATGCTTTTTCTTCCTTAAAATTACCTTACCCAGTGAGGGGGCACTGGTGTCAAGAGTGGTGTGGGAGTGTGATTTCCATTTCACTTTAGATATCAGGCTTCCCGGCAAAATTTGCCAAGTAGGCAAAGCTTTTTGCTCTCCAGCTCACCTTTCTTAAGCCTATTTTTATCTCTTCACTGAACTCTCTTCTCTCTTAAAATGATGATGCAAAAAGGAAGGAGCTCAGAGTCTTTACTCAGTATAGCCCTGTTTGTGCCTGGCTTTGCACACTGTATCTCACCAGGTCAGTGACCCTCTGAAGTAAGTGTGGGATGTGGGCAGGTAAGATTTGTGCCCAGGTATGTGGCACAGGTAGAGTTTTCACTCAGCTTAGTCTTGCTTGTGTCCCTCATACCTCACCAAACCATATCCTCACCAAAGCTACCTCTTCATCAGCTCCC